CAACACTAGAAACTAAAATGTTAAGTAGAAGAACTGCTGCTTTCTTTATAACCTTGGACTTTCTTCTGAATAAATCTAGTTTACATTTAATTCTGAGAAGCAGCAAACCTGCTTTCAGAAAATGTTGTCCTAATAAAACTTCAAAGCTCAGCTTTGTAAATCAGCTTTACAAGTGGTTTCTTTTCTGTCAATGGGCCACCTTTTCTCAGGAGCCAGCATTTATGAGAGAAATTAAAAGCAACTAAAAAGCATTTCTAAGCATATCACTAAGGCGTTCTGATTTACGGGGTGTGCATGTTCGGACAGCATCCCCTTGCCTCTCACAGGCACATCTCCTCATTCCCATTCTCTGTGCCTCTGCTACCCAGATTCTTGCAAATACGTGAGCTACTTCAACCTGTCCTTCACTATTCAACAGACTGCAGGGCAACTCCTGATCCTTTTACTTGACTTCTAATTCAGGAAAACATCTCTAAGAGAAAGCACTTCAATACATACTCAAGTCCCACAGAAGCAAAAATGCTTGTCAAGGCCACTTTTCAGTACCCTCCTGAACAAGGGCTTCATGCATCTGGACTTCAGAATTTGGTTATTATGTATTAGTAGTTTCTTGTCTGCCAGCTAACACCACTTTGTTTTCTTAAAATGAATCCTGCACTATAAAAACCAATATACACATTCCCACCAAATTAAAGTTGGTTTCCTAAAGGTTAAAAGCTATACAGAATTTATAATCACAGTCCGATATACATGAAGTCTTCTAGCCACCAAAATATTACAGAAGCCTGGAGTCACTACAAAGTAAGAAAACCATCACTGCGGCTCTCTGCAGTTTTAAACTTTCCCACTGAATAACCGGTGGGTAAGAGGCATTGTTGCATTAGTCGCATCTTGCCGCGATGGAGAAGCAGTTACTGTTTTTTTGGTTTATTTTTAAGATACGGCTAAATCTAAGTGCATTAAATATAGGAGGCATTATTTTACGGTTAGGGCTCCCAGGCTCTGGAATGGGCTCCCAAGGGAGGTGGTGCTCTCCCCGCTACCTTGGGGCTCTTCAAGAGCAGGTTGGATAGATATCTGACTGGGGTATTATGAGCCCAGCACTCGTTCCTGCCCAGGGCAAGGGGTCGGACTTGATGATCTGTTCAGATCCCTTCCGACCCTAGAAACTATGAAACTATAAATAAAAATTAGGATTTTCCACCATAAAGATTAAAAGGCAGCTAATAAATGCAAATTAACTTTAACCAAACAAACAAAGCCCATAATAAAAAGGTGTCAGGGCATTCTCTTAAATCAGCCGAACCACAGAGAACATCAGGGAAGGAGAAATTCCTGAGCATCACAGTATTTGGGCACCCAATCCACAATTTCCCTATCGGAATCGCTACACTATTTATGGACCCCATTGCCCTTTCAGGATAAAGAAAATGTATATTTTGAGCACAACTTTTTTGTTCTTTCAACTAGCAACTGCTTTCAGGCAGCAAAGAAGAACAAGTCTAATCTAGATGTATTTCCTCGTACTCTGACTCAAGTTTTTAGAGAGCAGGTCCAAGAAGAAGGTGGCTTTCTTTTTTTCCCCACTCTGTATGCCTGCCTGTACTTGAAAGCAGCTCTGTTTAATTGCTGAATGGGTTAAAATGAAAATTTCACTGCATACTAGACAGTCTGCTGCGAGCAGACAGAAAAAAACACTGAGTCAGGGACCTAATAGTGGACAATTTTGAAAATTATAGGGTGTGTCAATAATGGAGATAACAGTGAAACTCAAAAGGAATAATCTCAAATAATAGGAAAAATGAGCAACTGCCAGCAACAAAACCATTAGTATCAGGGCTTTTATCTTTGCCACAGCTAACGCTGGAGCTGGAGACAAACTTAAAGACACTACAGACAGAACATGATGGAAGTCGAAACGTGAAGCTATCCCCATCCGTCTACAACGCGGGAGGCTGCAAGCAGCATGGAGCTCACCACACAATTGCCGGAAATAAATTATGAGAAACAACTACAGCCTCTGCCTTTTGTCCATATTTTTAGCTGCTTCCATGTGCACGCCATTAATAAAAACCACATCCAAACGGGAAACAAAAAGGCCCTCCACCGATATGCACGCATTTTCACTCCTCTTGTGACAACTTACGTGGCACATTGCCTTTGCTTAGAGTAGAGGGTTCTCGAAGCGTGTTTGCTTGATCTTGGCCACGACTATCTTCCACCTATGGTTTCACTAGGTAACACTGTATTTACTCAAATCCAAGACAAGGTTCCCCCCCCCACCCCACACACACACAGTAAGGGAGGGAGCCTGGTCTTGGATCAGACTACTGGGGCCCAAGCCAGAGCTGCTGGGGTAGCTCGAGCAACGCAAGGGATGTGTAGCACGGGGAGCTTTTAACACAGTTTCTAACATGCTTTGGCCTGGGCTACGCTGACTAAGATGACCAAACTGAAACCCTATTTACAAGTTCCCAGGCAAGGCCAGTATTATAATGGTGGTAACTGGCAGGTCTTGTTCTAACCCAGACAGGAATCGTGCAGTGAAGCTGCGCAGAGTGGAGGAGATCAAGACTGTACCTAGCCGAAGGGGAATGAGGGGCAAGGAAGGGGGGAGTGAAACCCCCGAAAGCAACCTCTGCTTTAAACGAAACAGTGGAGACCAATTCTACTGATAACAGCCTTTATCACTAAGGAAAAAAAAAAAGGCTTCACAGAGATGAAACACTGGTAGCAATAGGAATATGAGTTGTGAAGCACATAATAGCACTCCAAGTGCTGTCCGAATGGCCACTCCAGCATGTGGATAAATACCGTGACCCTCAATTAAAAGACAGGGAAACTTAAGCAAAGAAATGAAGCAGTTCACCCGAGGTCATGGAGAGTCCCTGTCAAAAATCAGGGCTCAAGGCAAGGCGTGCCCAAGCCCCGTGCGTAGCTGTCCTCTGCCTTATCCAGCCTGACAGATGTCCCGACTGCAACTGCTGAAGTCAGAGCCACACAAAGACGGGGGCTCCACTAGCCTAGGCCACGAGTATGATGGAAGACGGAAAGCCCAGTTGACAGCAACAGTACGTGTACCAGGAAAATGGTCTTAAGACAATTTCCTTTACAGAAATAATCCCAGACAGTGCAAGAAAAGACGCACCAGAGAGCAAAAGACGAGGAATGAGGCAGTCTCGGTACTAGTCCACCTTGCTCATGCCAGGAAGGATCTCGGGCATCTCTCTGCACCCTTCAGCCTTTGTTTGCCCAGTGACTTCCAGGAAGTAACTACAGTAATTGAACCGGAGCAAAGCAAGCAATGCAGTGAAGCAGCAGCCAGGACTACCGTTGTCATCCACCTGCCGTTTTCAGGTTAGAATAATAGTTAGGTTTGAATGACAAGAATAAAAACAACTCAGTTGGACCTCACCAATTCACAGCTGCGACTGGGAAGTGAATCAGCAGCGGGTTAGGCATGTCTGCAAAGCAGACAGTCAGACAGGGAGGAGAAGGCAATCTCTGCTCTGAAAACAGGCGGGAGCGGGGTGTGGTGATAACCGTCAAGCAAGAATTCAGGCAGGCTTACCAATGGGCAAAGCACTTTTCATTCAGGCTCACACTCAAGGGTTTCCTTTTTTGTTTTTACTTTGCAAAACATGCAGCAAAAAGCATCAGAGAGCACAATCAACCCTGGGTACCTGCCCCCCTTACACAGTACAGAAAAGAGCCTGGGCGTGGAGAAATGATGGAAACATCACGAATCATGGGCGAGTGAAGAAGCCAGCCAAATCCACATCCTTCCCCTGAGCTGCCAAGAACCTGCATGCAACTATTTTGCAAATGTAGTTCCTCAAACCTTCCAGGAGAAGCGGCTGGACAGCGGGGAAGTCTCCCCATGCATCAAAAAGGTCAAACCTCAAGGCGCAGCAATTTTGTCTCCCTGTCACCCCCAAGAGACCGCAAGAGCGTGAGGAAAGCAAGGGCAACATGCATCGTGCCACAGCCCCGAGAACCTGCGTGGGAGATGCTCTGGCAGTCTGATCAGGGACTCATGCTTGGGTTAGTTCCCCATGAACCCCTGGCCAAACCAGCTATGCCTCACCCCTGCAATGCTGCCATCCCCTATTAACTGATGGGGAGGCCTGTGGCAATAAGACCCCAGTAGCATATTCAGGGCAAGTTTATCCATGCCCCACCCCCCTGGACTCCAGCTCGCCCCTAAACACACAGTGGGGCTGTCAACGGGGCAGGAACAGTCAGCCTGGGAAGTTCATACTGCTCCAACTGACAAAGAAACCCCAAGATAAATTCATAATGGAAACCCTGAACCAACCTTAACTATAGCACGCCATAATCTGATCTGCGTGTGAACTAACTCCCACCGTCTCAATGGTATTTATCTTACTTTAACTCCTGTTACAAAGGGGTTGAGTCACAGAGCAGTGTTAGCCAAGTCGCAAAAGTGCAAGGCTTGCTAAAACTCTGCTCAAGGATAAACAGGCTCTGTCCTAAACCAGGTTATGAGCAAGGTGCTCCACGGGCACTTTGCTAGCCAGACTTCAGATCCTCCGGACAATGGCGTTTTCCTCCACGCCGCAGAGAACAGGACAGTCCTGCCAAAGGGACTAGAAAAGCAAAGCACTGCTCTTCAGTTCATGGTAACACGTATTAACCGGGCCCCAAGAAACCCGATACGTTAGCAACCCCATGTACGGCAAGCGACCCAATCAGACTGCAGCGTGTCAGGAGAAAAGGAAAAGCATATACTCTGCATGCAGATTAGTCCCGAAACTGGGTCACTTCTTGCTTTTGGGGGGTGGGGGAGAGGAAAAGGAAAGGGGGACTTCTTTTTCAGACCCTTTTGGGCCTTCACCCAGAGTTTAAACCTACCTGGCGCAGCGTGGCAATTTTTACAGCTGTCCAAGCTGCTCAAACGATGCTGACACGGGCAGTGTGAAAGCATATTGCATGGACAGGGCGGGTAGTTCTTAGAATTCAGTTCACGAGCTACTTACCGGTTCTTTTCTAGTTCATTGTGCGTAGACCTGGAAGAGAAACAAAAATTTGGATTAGCCTCCTGTGACCTCGCCACACGACAGTCCAATTGCTGCGAGCTGCAAACGCTCCCCGCAGTGCATCCCAGCACGCCAGCAGCTACCGGTGTGCACAGCCGCCACGCTGCCCCCTCTCTCGCACCGCTATCTGGAAGCCTAGGGCTTTCGCTCAGATTTGCAAGAAATTTGCCCCCCAGATTGAAGGGGGGCGGGAAGTGTTTGCAAGCCAAAAAGGAAGGAAATGGTGCGAAGAACAGATGAAGAGTCAGGAGCCCTAGAGAAGCTATTTACCGCTGCTGTGCTTCAGTCTGCCCATCTATTGATATCACCTCTCACACTGGGGTATTCTGAGACTTAATTAACATGCATAAAATACTTGGAGATTTTTAGCGGCGAGCTGCTCTGAAAGACAAGCCCATACAAGCCAGACGGTGGGTGGCTAGTTAGATTTGTCCCACGTGCTGTCAGGACCCAAAATATAACTCGGCATTTGGACCCACGAAGGCAGAATGTACTTATGTAAGGACACGAGGAAACAGCATTTTTTCTGCCCTCCTTGCAAGCGATACCCTCTCTCAAGATGCTTCCAAGCATCACGGGCGCTCGAGGATGACTCACCACCTCACCTCCAGCACCGCTGACAATCAAGAGATGCCAGCACCACCACACACTTGCTTATGGTCGGCCATCTGTGCCCTCGAAAAAGGGCGCTCACTTGTATCACTAGATAGGCCCTGAAAATGTGGACCCTTGTTTTTATACCCGTCTATGCAGCAACAACCTCCTGCTGAGAAATGAAACTGGTTAGAAACAAAAGAAAAGGCTTGCCTATTTTTCCCCTAATCTATGACAACTGCAGAAAAAGCTGTGTTTTAAAAAAAACCTTCCAGGGCTTACAATCTTCGGCGTTAGTAACACAAGCGAGGTTGTTAAGGATAATTAAATAAAATATAGACGGATTGAAATTCGCAATGCAGCGAATTTCACTATACGGTTACCTTAAAATAAGGGCAAAGGAGTCAAGCATTTAATAAAAAAGGATCTATTTTCTGTAATTTGGCATCGCATTTCTTCTGGAGCTCGGAGAAGATTATCCTCTACCCCCCGCCCATCTGGAGGATCCCGCAGGGATTTCTACAATTAGGGAACTGACTGGAGGACCCACTCCAAGGGAAACCCAGGAATAATTAAGCTTGTCTCAAAAACGGAAAGGGGGGGGGGGGTTAGGTTAAAGCAGGCTGAACAGGTGTTAAAAGCTCAGTAAAGACCACGAACAAACCTACATCCACTTGGGAAACAGAACATAGTTTAACAGAACGAGGCCCCTGAGGACTGCAGATTAACGAGGCATCATTGGGACTTGCAGACAGATGAACACGGGCTTTAACGGCACATCAGTACTGTCCTTGTTTGGCAATGGCTCTTAAAGGCACAGTGCACCACACTTAAAAAGCTCCCAGAGTAGCCGTTTTCATTTGTCAGCGCGCCAATGTCTGCAAAGCCCGAGAAAGGTCCCCTCAACACTGCACCCTAGTTAAGGAGTTACTGCTGGTTCTTTGCTTTTCTGTGCATCTTCTGATCATTGACGAATCCAGAAGCCCCAGGCTCGTGTTTCAAACAGTAGCCTCTAGTTAGCACTCAGCAATTTAGAGATACTCAAGCCACCTGCACGTGCAGCATGCATGAAAGTCTAAAGGGGAACTGTCTGCACTGCAAGGGGAATGGCACCTCCAAGTCGGGACAGCGTCTGCCATGGTCTGTGCCATCCTCATAGACCCTGGCCTGGACAGCGGCACTGCTCGGGGAAGACGCGGAGCTGCTAGCCTCAGTTCTGTGGAACCTGTGACCCTATTCGTCTTTGCAACCAGCACAGGAGGCCTGAGCATGGAAGTACTTCATTTGGCATTGGAGCTGCACCCCAGCCCAGTGCTCTGGCCTCAAGCATGCAGGGGATTTTCATGCCCATTGAGTCCAGGTGTCTTTTACCTATGTAACGCCAAACTGCTTGGCCTGCATATATGAAATGACTTTCACTTTTGGCCGCACAAGTTATTGACCTTAAACCCGCAAAACCCATTTGGCCATGCTACCTAAAACGGAGCCAGGGTACACATCCCCTCCCTTGCACACCAAACCCACCCCTTAAAAAACCTGACCCCAAGTTCTTTGGATCATTTTATTAGTCTTATTTACTGTACGTTCCTGCAGGAGACTTTGTACCCTTCCTGGCTATTACATTAACAGCTATAAAGCCAAAGATATGCAATGGACTGAATTCCTATATTATAATCGAGCCAATTATAAAGGCCAGCACTGAAAGAACAAAGTTTGGCTCACTGCTGTGAACAAAATTAAAACAGCAGGTTCCCCCTACTCCTCTCACACAGGAGACTCTTTATTACCTATCTTCTTTCCGACAAACAACACAATTGCAAGGGGTCACAGACGTTTCACCAAGCCAAGATATTTATGCTGTGACTTTTAACCATATCAGCAGTGCTAACTTTCCCACCGAAGCTGAATGCGGACAAAAGAATCTCAAGCAAACACCAAACATCCTGCTAGGTTGCTCCCTGGGTTACTAGCACTAGTTAAGATGAAGCAAACTGAAAACATTTTTTAAAATGTCAGGTGAGTTCAGATAATCCAAACTTTTTTTTTTTTTTTTTTTAATTATTCAGCCTGGACAATACACAGTGGAAACGCAGTAGTTTAATTTTTCACAACTTCTGACTATTGTCTTCTTCATCTTTGGGCTCTGTGTGTTACAAAGATTTCTTTGGATTTGAAACAGGCGCTCGTGACATTCAAATGGAGAAAAAAAAATAAAATACACGCATTCATGATTTTTTTTTTAAATGCAAGATTCTGTAAATAAAGCCCCCAAAACATAAATACTGGGTCTAAACTGACAATTGAATGATATTTAGAACAAAAATCTTTATTTCTCTGATGATGATCTCTCAAATGTATTTTAACAAAATTACTCTGTCTTTGCAGTAGCCGAATGTGGGCAATGCCTTTGTCCTCCTGCTTTACCTGTGGCAAATTAGGGGATATTTGGGGACATTGTGCCCGGTACCTGTGTTTGTGCAGTTTTCTGAACAGGTTGGACATACACTTGGATAGGATGATTTAGATAGGGATGATCCTGCCTTGATCAGGGTTGGACTAAATAACCTACCGAGGTCCTTTCCAGCCCTACTTTTCTGTGATTCTCTCTGATCGTCAGCTAGTAACCAGGACAAAGTCAGGCTATAAGATTATCAAACTAAAGGCAAACATTCAGAATTACAGAATACCCTTCTGATCAAACAACAAAATTATTATTGCATTACATAAAAAGAGACATCAGCCGCTTGATAATCTGAACATTTTTTATCTACAGGTACAAGCCACCATCAAGGTACTGTGCTACGACTACATAGGCAAGGTGCGTTTCTCTGGGTTGCATGCATGTGTCGCTTTGCATATTTGTCAGCGCTACGTGTAGAGTCGGCCTTGCTATTGCTAACAAGCAGTCGTATCACGGTCAGGCACTGAACTAAGCGAGTCCACATGCATGCCGCCACCCAGGCTAAGCACAAGGACATCTGCCACCAGCAGCAGGGGCCAGCAGGTACAGACAAATTCCTATTGAGACAAGAAGACCCCAGAATATTTGCTTTAATTTGTTTTATTTGACTATCCCAAATCCCCTGTTCCCAAACTTCCTTCTAAACATCAGCAAGGGAACAGGAAAATGCATTATAGTTTTAAAAAGACAAAACATGCTATAGAAATATATATACGGCTATATATGGTCATGGCAGAAAAGGGATTCAATACATTGGTCATTATGCAGAATCAATCTAATTGGCAATGCCCCTTTAAATCCGACTCAAGTGTTTAAATAAGGGGAAGGAAGGGCCCTACTTCAGACCATCTGGCCGGGGCTCATGGAGAGAGAATTAGAAGTTTCCCGCATAAGATGTTCAAGAAACAATTTGACAAAGAAAAAAAAATAAGAGAGCAGTCAGCCACTGGCTTGGTTACCAAGATGAAGCTAGAAAGGGAAGGGCTGGAATAACAGCTTCCCAATGCCTTTACTAACACAGAAGTCTAGCGAAGCATGCAAAATAACAATAGGACATGATTTGCCAAATATTGGAAACAATGACTATCGACCACTATCATTTACCAGCCAATTCCTCCCTGTTTGCAAGTTAGCTGCTATGCTCCAATATGTAACTTTATTTTAAGCCTGTTCCAATAAACTTAGAACAAGTTGCAGAGAATTCTTCTTATGAGCTATCATTTTTGTCCTCAGTTTAGCTCAATTTAATTAAAGTATGTTGAACCACAGCACTTGAAAGATGCATCAAAACAAGTCAATGTCAGGTCCAATTTATTCTCTCTAAACCAACAATTTCATGAATACCTCACTGCCTACCAACATACAGCAGGCAACATCTGGGAAAATACATGCTGTATTCTTTATAAAATCAACAGGATGTTTTAACCTCCACCCACAAAGGAGTGAAAATTATAGTAACACTTGTGATCCCAGCAGAGTCTTGACCAAAAATTTAATGCAAAACTCAGGTGCTTCAGGGCAAAGACACACCCTTCAAGTAGAGACGGAGTAGATGAGTATATGCAGTGAAGAAAACAAGGTTAGGGTAGGTCGAAACAGCATTGCAGGTAGACTACGGGGCTGCAATACTGGCTACAGACTGGAAGGCCAATGGGCGAGTTCAGGGCTTTGAATCATTGTACATATGGACCGTCAAGCTAGTGCAGTTGGAGGCCAGGGGACTCCCTCCCTAGTGCAAAGGTTTCTGTGCCACCATTTCACCCTGTACAAAGCTCTGCTCTGAGCTCCAGGATCAGGTTGCTCTTGATACCACACAAACACAGATCCAACCAAGACTGTTCTTGTCCCTCAAACCAAACACAAAAGCTATCCACCCGCCCCTCTCCCAATGCTAAGGTCTCTAACGAACGCTGTA